TTAAATTTGTAACAACATGCTACGTTTAAAGTACGAGTAGTTTCTCCCAAAACCGAACTGTATAGATATACACATGTTCTCTGACTAGTTTCGCGTTTGAAATGACAGCTGTTACATGATTTCGGAAGAGATATACCACAGCGTCCACACACAAAGATAAATTATATCACAGCGTCAACCCTCAAGGACAAAATATACCAAAGCGCCCACACAACAAAGACAGATTATACCACAGCGTCAACCCTCAAGGACAAAATACACCAAAACATACCACAACGTCAGCACTTATGGACACATCTATACAGACAAAATATACCACAGCGTCAGCACACAAGGACAAACTATACCACAGCATCAGCACACAAAGACAAAGTATACCACAACGTCAACACACAAGGACAAATATACCACGACGTCAACACACAAGGACAAATATACCACGACGTCAGCACACAAAGACAAAGTATACCACAACGTCAACACACAAGGACAAATATACCACGACGTCAGCACACAAAGACAAAGTATACCACAACGTCAATACACAAGGACAAATATACAACGTCAACACACAAGGACAAATATACCACGACGTCAACACACAAGGACAAAATATACCACAGCGTCACCACACAAGGACAAAGTATATCACAGCGTCAACCCTCAAAGACATAATGTACCACAGCATCAGCACACAAGGACAAAATATATCACAGCATTATCACACAAGGACAAAATATATCACAGCATCAGCACACGAGGACAAAATATATCACAGCGTCAACCCTCAAAGTATATCACAGCATCAGCACACAAGGACAAAGTATATCACAGCATCAGCACACAAGGACAAAACTTACCACAGCATCAGCACACAAGGACAAAGTATATCACAGCATCAGCACACAAGGACAAAGTATATCACAGCATCAGCACACAAGGACAAAGTATACCACAGCGTCAACCCTCAAAGACATAATATACCACAGTGTCAACACACAAAGACAAAATATACCACAGCGTCAACCCTCAAAGACATAATATACCACAGCGTCAGCACACAAAGACAAAATATACCACAGCGTCAACCCTCAGAGATATAATATACCACAGCGCCAGCACACAAAGACAAAATATATCACAGCGTCAACCCTCAGAGATATAATATACCACAGCGCCAGCACACAAAGACGAAGTATACGAACACGTCAACACACATAGACAAGTTATACTTGTGTGTCAATCTTTAAGGCCGAGTACACTACAATGTCGCCAAAACACCATGACACGATATACCTTAGCATCAACAAACACGAAAAAAAATTACTAGAACATGAACATAGACATACCATACCGCTTTGTCAACCCACAATACAAAATATACCACACAGACCACAGCACATACTGAGATCAAGTAGAAAGCTAAACAAAAGGAGGAGCAGCAGTAATAACCCATCATAAACACCCCATCCCTACCACATCCCACGACATGTCCTACCACAGACACCACATCCCTACCACATCCCACGACATATCCTACCACAGACACCCCACCCCTACCACATCCCACGACATAACCTACCACATAACCTACCACATCCCACGACATAGCCTACACCCCATCCCTACCACATCCCACGACATAACCTACACCCCATCCCTACCACATCCCACGACATAACCTATCACAGACACCACATCCCACGACATAACCTACTACAGACACCCCACCCCTACCACATCCCACGACATAACCTACCACAGACACCCCACCCCTACCACATCCCACGACATAACCTACCACAGACACCCCATCCCTACCACATCCCACGACATAACCTACCACAGACACCCCATCCCTACCACATCCCACGACATAACCTATCACAGACACCACATCCCACGACATAACCTTTCACAGACACCCTGTCCCTACCACATACCACGACATAACCTATCACGGACATCCCTACCCTACCACATCCCACGACACAACCTACCACAGACACCCCACCCCTACTACATCCCACGACATAACATACCACATACACCCCATCCCTACAACATCCCACGACAGAACCTATCACAGACCCCCCACCCCTACCACATCCCACGACATAACCTACCACAGACACCCCACCCCTACCACATCCCACGAAATAACCTATCACAGACACCCCACCCCTACCACATCCCACGACATAACCTACCACAGACACCCCACCCCTACCACATCCCACGACATAACCTACCACAGACACCACACCCCTACCACATCCCACGACATAACCTATCACAGACACCCCACCCCTACCACATCCTACGACATAACCAATCACAGACACCCCACCCCTACCACATCCCACGACATAACCTACCACAGACACCCCACCCCTACCACATCCCACGACATAACCTACCACAGACACCCCATCCCTACCACATCCCACGACATAACCTACACCCCATCCCTACCACATCCCACGACATAACCTACCACAGACACCCCACCCCTACCACATCCCACGACATATCAATGTACGTTTGGGAGCAGGGTTAAACATATCTGGCATGATGTATGTTACAGAGGTCGTTGTTTATCTTAGTGCCTCCGCTTGGATTTGAACTCGGGATCCCTGGCTTACCAATCTCAATCGATCGTGCTTAAGAGAAGTTCTCTCTATCCGAACGGTATATTACGATTAGTATTTGCCAGGGTTACATGCATGGTACCTGTCAAGATGTATGCTGACAAAACCGACAAAGAATTCATGTCACTTATAAGGTATGGAAGAGCCAGACCTTATTATTACTATAAGTCAGGCCACAAAGAGGATCGTTAGTTCTCCTCACGGTATATACTGATAGAAATTCGTGAGGTTAAGCAGTTTACTGGTCAGCGTACCTAATCCAGATAATCCCCAGTAAACAATGACCAACTGTGACATTCACAAACTGCTACCAAGGACTGTTCACCTTGTCCATTATTGGGGTACAAGCGGACTGGATTACAATTCTTTATCAAGATTTCCCTTCCACAATGAGATTGATAGTGTTATCCTTAATCGGACAGAAAGATTAATAAGTTACGTAAATGAAGATCGGGAGGACGTAGGACGGGGGAACTCGAGATTAAGGAGTTGGTGGAGGAGGGGTTGGGGATTAAGCTGGACGTAAATTCTTCTTTTGACATCTTACTTTTTAGCTCACGTAAACATTGCAATATAATAACGTGACTGAAAATGTCGTATCGCGGGAGTGTAATGTAAAAATTATTATGGTCATTGGCAGCTACTGCATAGTATGGTACACATCGCCTTCATCCTACTGAGTGAGCCGAGATTTGGGAAGAAAATAGAGTTATCTCCCTTGAACGAAACTCTTTTAAAGCAGACGACGATATTATGACTGTCTTCTCATCGAAGTTATCTGGCTTTAAAAGGGTAGGCTGTTATACAGATTCTGAGAAACTCGTGAAAAACATGTTTCGTACAAAAGCAGCATTGAAGATATGTGGTAATGGCTTTATCCAGCGCGTCCTGGAGACCTTGCACTGTGCAGTATGTCAGGCATCGAACTGCCAAACTACAGTGTTAAAGTGCAGTGTTAAGGTGCTGTCACTAAACCCTGTAAACATAACTATTATACTGTTACAACAGCAAGAATCATAAATAAGTATATATATATGATTCCATTTACATTCCATTTCTAATAGTATTTATGTCTTGATGAAAGGGCAGATTGGTATTACTTCATTGATCATATATCTATCCCAGTAATACGCATCCAACGAACATTTCTTTGGTTGGATCCAGTACCAATATTGGACCATACCGTCGATATTACTTACTAGATCCTATGATTCCGTTTCCATATGTAAACGTGATTTGACTGATTTCAATACATTTTACGAATAGTCTAAAAGTGAATAAAAATCCGATTCCTGCGAATTTCTTCTTCAATGTATTCGAGTTTCGACCTTGTGTGTTAACCAGTATATGTTTATGCTGAAATCTTTTCAGACATACAGTTTTTAATAGAAATTTGTCAGTATTTCCCGAAAACATTCTGTAAGCGTAGTAAGCTATCTAAATTATCATGATCAAATTATAATACAAGAATACACTGCTACTAACTTTTAGTCCTTCACTTTCTGGAAAGTAATATACTTCTTACTTTAATATACCGTGTCAGTTGCTTTAATAGAAAAGTCATGTAAAATTTATGGGTAATATGGGGGGGGGGGGGGGGCATTGCGAGGGAGCAATGTATTGAATGCACTTCATCAACAATATCCCCTGATCCAATGAACTTATCTTTCAACACTTGCACCAGTATCATTGTCAGTACAGAGAGAGCTACTGTATCAATATTGACACTTGAGGAAAAATAATATAATTTTGTGTTTTACTTGTTCAGTAAAACATGACATGGCATATGCCCCAATAACACACGTCAGTGAGGGCAATTACACTGAATTTTCTTGCTTAAGTACGCATTCATGTCAGAGCAGACCGTTCCTTTTCTCGTCACAGTTTCCTGAGAGACAAATACCGCTACGGATAGTGAGCTTCGAACCACGCACCTCGGATCTTCATCTGAGGTTACATGAGCCAACGCGATAACCATCGGAACAATCGCTGTCACATGTTTGAGTTTAAATAATTTCCGTTTTTAAGGAAGATAGATCCCAGTTAAACGTTTTAATGCACTCGTATGTATGTTACATTTAAATGTGATAAGTGACACAAAAGTATGTCAATATAAAAAAAAAACATGTGGAGTGCAATTAGAAGAGTGATTTCAGTTTTTTCTAAACATAAAACGCAACATTTGTTTTAAGTAGCTCTGACATACAAATAAGGGAATTTTCGTGTATATATATATGCTATCATATCAAAATTTAAAGTATTACATCAGTGCGGCACTCTACATGATTGTGTTAATGCTATATACAGAATGGTAAATACAACTTTATTTTGTAGATAAAACAATAGAACATGGAGTCGACTTTCTCATGCATGACTTTCCTGGCACTATCCCTGATGTTGTTGTGGATACCATTCTCAGTATCGTCAGCAGCTACTGCTGCAGCTGCAGTTCAACCAACCATGACGTACCCTTGCTCAGTGTGTAGGTGTTCTATAACTGTGCTACAGCGCGGGCAATCTATCGCGGCAGACTGTTCAAATCTACTACTGACAGAGACACCATTTGACCTGCCCAGAAAAATTGGCACGTTGGACATGTCTAAAAATGAAGTTAATTCGTCACATCTCCTCCACTTGTACAGATACCCAAATCTGCGACACCTGAACGCTTCATTCAATGCATTTACGGATTTTGACGTCAATTTCGATATTTCAAAGGACCAGTTTCTCACAAGGAACTTTCAGATTTTGACCCTCGACCTATCTGGAAACTTATTGAGATCTATTGACAACCATGCATTTGCAAATATGCCATATATTCGTGAAATCATAGGGTTAGAAGCACGGGTATTCCCTCCAGATTCCCTTAACCAGCTGACCGATCTTCAGAAAATCTCTGTCACGTCTCACCAGACCGTTATACCGGAGAAACTCTTTCATAATCTGCGAGTTTCCTACCTAAAGCTAAATGTCACCGAGGCATTTTACTTACCGGAAAGAATCTTCAGACACCCTCACAGATCTCTTCTCTCTAACCTGTCGATAATTGGAGAAAACATAAAGGAACTGCATGTCGACACACTGAGGAGTCTTGTGTTATTGAAACATATCGAGATTGTGGGTCCAAAAATGCGGTTACCTGCTCATTTATTTCACGATGATGTCCACGGACCTAACAGTAATGAAGAAATGCCAGTTAACCTGAAGACAATACGAATAAGTGGTGTCAGAAGTTTACCAAGCACAATTTTCCACAAACAGAAAAGCTTAGAGCACCTTGAGCTACACGGAGTAGAAGATCTTCCGTTTGGTTTGTTCGAAAGTGTAACAATGGATTCATTGGATCTTTCTGGTTGTGATATATATGAATTACAGTCGGAATCCTTTCAGGGATTATCGAGCTTGAGAGTTCTGAATCTGTCAGATACTCATCTGACTAGCATCAAAGTTTCGGCTTTCACTGGTCTGCAATCATTAACCAGTCTAGATTTATCGAACAACTTTATTGATAACATAGCACCGGCATTGTTTGACAAACTAAGGAGGACGTTGGTCACTTTAGTGATTTCTAATAACTCACTGAATGCTCTTGACAAGAACGCGTTTAGAAATATGATGTCGCTGGAAAAACTTGACCTTAGCAAAAACAATATCAGTAGTCTGCCACTTTCTCTGCTAGGAGATCTCGGAAAGCTAGCTGAGCTTAATCTGAAGGAAAACCAGCTACACAATATTCCGCCAAACGTTTTAGAAGCACAGGTCAACATGGAAAACCTTGACCTTGGAACAAACTTGCTGAATGGACTTCCGTCGAATGTCTTTGATACTACGAGGTCCCTCCGTAGAGTAGACCTGTCTGCAAATAATATCACATTCCTTCCAAAGGACATTTTCAAGACGACTCGTTTTCTGGAGACCGTTAAGTTGACAGGAAACCCTATTCATTGTGGCTGTGATATTCTGTTTTTGCCACAGAATATTATTGGTTTAGAACTACATGGATACTGCTCGTCTCCAAAGGAGTATGCCTACATGCAAATACAGGACGTGCAGATCGGCGACATGTGCATTTCTACTTCAACACTTCCCACGACGCTCCCTCGTGGAATCAGCATTTCCCCTACGCCGGTTGTTACCGTGAGTGATGAACCAGAAGTATCCAGTCAGTTGGTAGACAGTTTGGGAAGTACAGGATGGATGGTGAGTAGTTATGTTGGTATTCAGCCTTCGACAACCCTTTCAGACACTAACATGTCTGCTCCATACAACGATTCCTTCAGAGCAGACGTAGGAATGGCTCATGATGTTGGTCACGTGTTCGGCTCCTTCGGTCTTGATGGATTCTATATCGCCATGGGAGTGGTAGCGGCAGTTTCTATTTTCGGTTCAATTGCTATGGCGATATACCGAAAAAGGCAAACTTCCCGAAGTATGGTTTACATTGTCAACCCGGAAGGGTCGAATGATCAGACTAGTGATGACGTTGTAGGTAGCTTTGCACGTGTAGGTCCCGGATCTTTTGATGGCGTTGGGAATGATTAGAGTTCTTTAGAGGAAAATTCGGAGAATTAGAAAAACGGTAGTAACTATTTCCGGTGTGATCGGTGCTTTCTCTCTCCAAGTGAAATATCAACTGTACCGGCATAGAAAGTCCCTTTTTCTTTGTGTTAAACATGTGACCAGAGCACTTTTAGTGAAGTGGTGGTATCGAGACTGATGTCTAAATGAAGACTGTTACGTCACGTTGAACGTACACCAAATAACTTACAAAATAATTCACTTTTGGTCTCATTCTCATAAAGAGGTAAGAGGTTCCATTTTCCTTAAATTTGTCAAAAACGCTTTAGTATAACCAAAGTAACTTAGCTCGATGACAGAAACCTGAGATTATACAATCAATATGTTCATCCGAAAGTTCTGGGGTTTTTTCATCCTTCCTTTATAATGATAGCTTAAATTTCCGATTTACAACGGTTTTCACATTAATTTTCTCCAGCCGAAAGCCTGTCTTTTTTTTGGAAATGAGTGTGAGCTCTTAAAGAGTTAAAAAGATTTGCAATATTCTGTATATTCTGTAAATTTGCATTAAGCGTAAACCTTATATGTTGGAGAAATGTTTTAATGAAAGGGACAGACAAGATTGGAAAATGTTAAACAATAATTTCAATATGTCGAAGTTGAAACAAATGCATCTATAAGCAAATGTAATACAATGTAGTCTTCTGATTCGGTGTTTTGGTAATTGGTTTGTACTTTCCTCGATTTGAGCATTGTCCTTTAAAAAGACTGAGCTGATGGGCAAACATATTGTCTTCCCATTGACCTTCATCACCGAGAAAAGTCGCTTGACCAGTCGCTGTAGTCTGTGACATATGTTTTATTCGGGTGTTTTAGATGTTGGTGAAATCGTAGATTAAAAAGGTAACTTTTAAGACTTTGGGCCTCGCTATACTCGAGTAGGGTAAACATTTGACTTCGGGTACTAATTTCTAATTACGCGTATAATAGTGTTTGTTTCAGATGATAAGAAAGTATTGACTGAAGTTTGGAACGTGCGTTCCTTGTGAAATCAATATTAAGATTCCACATTGTTATCTTGAATATATTTATGAACGTATCATCGTGAGAATCATGTAGTTTTGTTATTTTGATTAAATAAAGAATTTGTTTAACAATGTTTAAATCTATTTCTTTTTTAAAACTAGATATCGGAGTGATAAGGTTTTTCGAAGAAAAACAAAAAAAAGCTGTCTGTATAGTTAAGCATATTCGTTGGTAGCTGTTTCTAGAGAAAGATCCATGCGGTATTTGGTCCATAGTTGCTGCTTAATGAATTTCTAGTTAATTACCGCCATTTTGAAATTCTCGGCAGGGTTGCTTCTCTCTCTTTCACTAATGTCTAGTGTAAGGTTGCTACCAATGAATCAAAGATGCACATTGAAGATTGTCGCTGTGGTTTCTTTGCCAAGAGATACGAGCAGATTGGATGATTTCGTAGGAAGTACTTACCACATGAGCGATATTCCGATTAAGTTGCTGAGGAATTGTGAATCATGAAACCACCCAGTCCACTACCGTTTTCTTCCGAATTACTGCAGCTGAAAAGATTGCATGTTTCTGTTTTCTGGTACAACAATATACCCTGTAGGTTCTGTTTGTGTTAACTGTGTTGTCATTCGTGAACATGACATATTTTTTCGATTGACCAAGATTTGCGTGGTAGTTGTCGATGAAACTCAAAGCGCTTAATTTTCCTGAACACCTGGTCTCATTCTCCTTTCCATGAGTCTCCGTGTAAATCTTTATTTTTTCCATAGTTTTGCCCTATTTCTATTGAAGTTTGGATTATGATTCTGTTGACATGTTAGTATATTCTTTGTTGTTTTTATCTGGTATATTTCTATTGAGCTTCCCCGTTTGTGTATTTGCAAGCTCACAGTATATCGCTCAGTCAGAATTAATATCTATAAATATACGGGACCTGGTAAAATCCCAAGTTCTTTTCCTATAAATCATTATTTACTTCCGCAAAATTGTTTTCGTACCGAATCATTTTCATTCACTGAAGTCATATAGCACGACACATTGGTATGTATTTATTAATAAAAAATGAAAAGAAAACCAAAACAAAAAATGAGGATTTTTTAAAATTAAAAATTAAAATCATATCCTCAGTAGATCTGAAGAGACACCAAAGGCTTATCTCTCGGAAGTTGTATAGAATGTACATGTACATATATTTGTCGTCGGGTCCTAATCGTTAAACGTGTGAGCAGACACTACACTTGCTAACTGTATGTGCTGTTATTATATTATTGTTTACAATTACCTAGACACGAATGGTTAGAGACAGTCAATTTTTCTTAAAGGAAAAAATGCATGTTCTAAAAGTGACGAAATAGTCACGATGACAATTTAGTCCGGTTTTTAATCGCTTTTCTTACATCTGTCTTTGTTGATATTAGCATGGCTTGCATTTTCTATCAACATGGAGTTAATTACATTGCTTATCAAAATTACAATTCGTATTTTTATTTCAAGGATTTTCTAATTTTTACCATATTGATTTTGTTTGTTTGTTTAATAATTTGTATTCAGCTTCAGTATCATCTTATCTTTATCAGTGTCGGTCACTCCGGAATCAATGACATCGTCGTTTTCACCAGCTAGACTTACTGATCGATTGAGGTCAATGAATGAGCCGTTCTCTCTGTAATCGTTTGCAGGTTATGTGACATGTTCATGATCCTATCAAGTAAATTAATGGCAAGTCTCAATACTTTACAGAGTCTGCAGCTTAAGAATGACATGCATACATAACGTTATTTTCGATGAGTTATGAACACTGGAAATATTTAGTAATATATTTTACGTACATCAAGCTAACTTGTGAAATGTAGTAATTCGACTAGTTAACATGAAATATTCTACTTGAAGCACACTGTACGTGGTGATGTTCGATCATAAAACCTTCGCCAAGTTTTTGTCAAAATAAAAACATCTTATGACGTATATATCAAGGCGAACCCTTGTCTTTCGAAGATGTATATATGTGTATAGGTTATATTTAGTCCATACCCCAAGGTTCGAAAACACATACCGTCTATAATTACAAACACTGAACCCTTCAGCCTCTCTTCTTTCTTCGTTTTCTAATAACTTCCTTCTTGATTTTCTGGAATAAGGCAGGTCTTGGATTTTGTTCAATGGCCGAGACAAGCTAGTGTCCTTATTAAAATTGTTGTTCAGTGCTTGACGCTGCCAATCACTGCATCGGTGAGATGCGTCACCAGTCCTTAAGCTGACCCATTTCTTTGTGGTATGAAGATCATCTGACACCGAAGCCTTGAAACATGTACCAGCAGCAATACAATCATGATATTTTAGTTGTTAAGGAAACAAAAAACAACAACAATCTTCAATTAATTTTTTCTTCAATATCACATCTAAAATATACCATCTACAAATATTTAAAGTTACTTTGATGTTTTGGTAATAGGAAAAAAATAAGAAAAGTTTTTTATGAAATTGTACCTTTAGAAGAAGGGTCGTTAGTTCAAAGCAATTAGATATGTATTTTTTCTGTTGTTTGACTGATGACGACATATCTACGATGGATATGCATTCGCATGTATACGTGTATACATCAAAGTCAAGTTCTAACTGTACATGTTCGTCCTTGTTCACTTGTACCGATTGTACGATGTGTGAATTTACCTCGTGGATTGCCATTATTAAAGAAATATCATTCACGGAGTAAAAGGAAAAATTTAAACAATTTCAGAAATCGTTCGCTGTTTTTTTCCTTTTTTCAAAAAAGAGGATAAAATAAAACATCGGCTTGTAATAAATGATTCAGTAGTCGAATGATCCTATGACATCGTCGTCTTCGTCGTCGTCGTCGTCATCATCATCGTCGTCGTCATCGTCGCCGTCATCATCGTCGTCGTGGTCGTCATCATCATCATCAACATCCCTGAGATGTTTGAAAAGAAATGACATTTCCTATATCATTATGACTTATTCTACGTGCAGTCTAAAATTATATTATAACATATCTGTGTAAAGAATAGCCATGAAAGTATTCTCCACTTACTATGTCGGCAGAAGAATGAAACACCTGTAGTGTAAATGTATAGACCAAGCCCTCTGGGTTGTAGCCAACGTCGTTAAATTCGTTCTTCTCTGACAGTTTTAGGCATTGTCTATACCGTTACATAATTACCTCGGAGTACAGCACCCATCAAGTTTGTAGGTACTTTTTTAAAAAAAAACTACTGGTTCGGGTCAATGTCGTCTCATCTTACCGACAGAGAAAAATAAGTACCTTATCCTACTGATACTCAGACCTAAAAATTTGAGGTCAATGGAATATTTTGAATTTGGCTAACTCTCATAGGTGTGTATTTGGTAAAACTTTTGAGTTTGTAACGTTCAATCTTCCTCACTGAAAAGGTTCTAATGCTTTGAGAATCGTCTCAAGCAACGACTTTTTATTGAAATATTCTGATATGAAAAGGATTTTGGTCAAAATATAAAAGTTCGTTTCCGCACTCCATTTCCATTTTTTCGAGGTAAGTTTGACACATAATGATTAATATCCCTCATAGCTTTTCATTACGGATAATATTGAACTTCTGGCCGATAGGCCTCCCGCACTGTGTTCAATGAGACAGTCGCCAACAAAAACAACGAGATCTTGTCTCAAAATGATTCTAATTGTACTGGGGCTGTCAATGATAAACCTCACATACAAACAAGCAATTTAAAGCATGCACTGAGAAAATTCCTATTGGTGAAAACTCGACAGTAAGCCTGTTATGACACGTTTGCTTGTATAAGCAATAAGGTTTTCAGTATTAAGTGCACTTCTTACTGTGTTGATAAATGTGTCACATGAACTTTAAATGGCTCCCGCTTCGCTTAACTTGAGGCGATTTACATAACCCATTAATAGATAAAAACATCGGATTTGTCTTGTATAACAAGCAAAAGACTTCCGGAAAACTGTCATTGTTTCTTTCCCCCGGTCAAAACATTATATAGTATGTAGTAAAATGTCTATATCTAAACAGACTGGTCTGCCCAATTGACTGATGCTTTTGATGTGTTCTTAAAGTGTGAGACATTCACTGTTTATCGTCCTCCATCTAGAAATTACTTTTTTTGTCTGTTAATTCCACGAATACTTGTAAACACTTATTTAAATTTCGCTTCTCCGGTAACAACAAACGAGATACTTAACCGAGAAACGGAAGTAAATACTCTGTGTCACGTGTACACTAGGATACAGCATTAGAAGACTCCAAATTGGTTATACTAGGACTCCTGTACAACGGAATTACACTGTGACTTTAAAATTGACCAGTGTTTTCGAGAAACATTCTTCATAACACAGAAATAAAATAAGTTTTACCGTTAAAAAAATACAAGATTGGAGGTTCATCTATTCTCTTTTATTCCAGTATTCCCAGATGATATGTTTGGAAATAATTAAACTAATTGACATTTTAGAAGGGTATTCTTTTTATACATAATATTCTAACACATTATTACGAAAAGTTTAGGTAAAGTCAAAAAACATTTTCACTAGTGAATCTGATATCACAATGATACATTAACTTTAAATAAGTAATATACCTTATATTTGTGTCAATTCTTCTTTTCATGAGTTACATATTTATCAAAGAATATGGTAAACATTCAACACATGTTATGATAAGGATAATCGTTTACTGATTGTCATGTGGGTCAGCTGATAATGGTCTTGTCTATCATATAATGTGATTGGATACCACAGTTACCTCCCACACAGCCATGAACTTTCATGTATACAAAAAGTACATGACAGAGACAATATTGACGTCCATAAACAACAGCTAATTCAATTTATGTGTTAATCAGAAATTATAGCTCCTATAAATTGGCTTTCTTATCCTGTTTGGTGACAACAGTGTTGGGTTCACGTGTCGTAACTTTGAGTTTTAATTCTATTATGTTCCATTTTGCAATAACAGTGTTACACAATAATATTTATGGTGACAGTGTACGTTTGAGTCTATGGAAACGTATGCTCATTTAATTTTTTCGAACTTTGGAAATTAATTTGCCTAATTTCCTGGTTGTATTTGGCATGAGAACTGCATTTTTTAATTTGTCGTCAGGGAGCAAGCCTGTCGCGTAAATATTGAAGTGTTTTTAATATAGATTTTAAAATTACACGGTTTGGTAAATATTACAGACTACTGGAAAGAGGGACACATAGATGTCTTTTGTCAATGTACGCTATTTTCAGAATTTATATAAATAGTTTTGTTGTTTGCGATAGAATGTAACGCTGTAAATATAACAATAATTAATGGCGTCAGCTTTAAAAGGCCCTTACCACGTGAGTAATTCGGACGCGAACTATGTAACAAAAAGTAATAAGTCAGAATACATTCAATTGTGTTCAAATTAATGACAGAGAAGACATGTCATGATGGAGAAAACCTATGATATGCGTCTACAGTATAAAGTCGACTTATATCTAATAATTGACGAGACTCGTGCCGAAACACACGTGGTACAGTGACATACGATAAAACGGAAAAGTTATAATTAAGAACCAAGACAGATATTAAAATTGATAAGATGGTTAAGACACTTGACAATGCAGTCTAGACGGATGTTAAAGCCGACAAGACACTTGACATAAAACGGCTAAAGCCAAAAAGTTGACAAAGCAATGCTAAAGAAAGACAAGACAAAGCAGTACAGATATTAAAATTGATAAGATGGTTAAGACACTTGACAATGCAGTCTAGACGGATGTTAAAGCCGACAAGACACTTGACAAAGCAGTACAGACGGATGCTAAAGCCAAAAAGACACTTGACAAAGCAGTCCAGACGGATGTTAAAGCCGAGAAGACACTTGACAAAGCAGTCCAGACGGATGTTAAAGCCGACAAGACACTTGATGAATCGGTCCAGAAGAAACGTTAATCTTAAAGGAAACAAGATACTTGTGATGGGACAGAGCAGACGGATGTTTATGGGAACGCGATACAAGATGAAAAGATGTTTTCAGTGTGGCACCAGGATGTTGAAATAGATCAATGCTATATGCATATCATTTCTTACAATTAATGTCATCTTTAAACTAGACTGGCGTGATCGGGTTGGTCGGTACAGCACCACTCGAGTCCAACATCTGTAGATTCTTATGCCAAAACAGTTTTGATACATGTCCTATTAATTATTACACAACAGTATTAATTTATATCCACTGTGGTCACTTTTGAAGCCTATGGTGAGATTCAAGCAACAGATCTCACGAGTAAGACACAACATCGCAAGTAAGAACTGTGTTTGTCGTAGATAGACTTGTGCGAGATTTGTTTAGTTTTCAATTCAACATCTGAGATAAAAAATGCATGTACGTGTTTGAAACGCAATTTTCGTTCCTTCTCGTATTGATTTCAGGAGAGCACAGTAACAAAAAATGCTTAAAAAATAAACCTTATATAACCATACCATTCAATTACACTGTAATGCCTTATATAAAATGTGGCGTTTCCCAAATAACTTCGACAGAATGGTCTGTAAGGACTTTGAAATGTGAATGGTTTAAATTTCCCATCTTCTATAATTTTTTACCTATTTAAAAGGTCAGTTTCTCCTATAAATATTGAGAAAATAATGGAAATTTAAAACAAATGTACCTTTTTAAGCTCCATATACAGCAGGAACGTGTTTCGAGACTGTATGTTTAAAAGCTATTAGTTTCTTGATCAAGTCATTATCTTTCCTTAAGAGACTGTTTACGCATTGAGCTAGGTTAATCATGCCTCGGGTCGGATTAGAACTATATTTTCACGATGGCTTACAAAAGCTTTATTGCCGTCCACAGAATATCACCTTGTAATTGATCATGTTAAGATAACATTTTTTTCATTGTTTACATGTACATCATTGAATAAAATAGAATACAGCTACTCTTTAGAACAAATTAGAAAGTGAAACACAGTTTTGAATTCCATTATTAACTCGAGTTCACTGATCCGTTTATTTCCTTATTGGACGATATGTGGCCGTGGTATTTAAACAGCAGGTTTAAGTGGATTATTACTTACACGTTTGAAGTGTGTATATATGTTATACAGTATACTACAATCCAGGGCAGTTATTCTCTGCACGGTGCAGGACGCCGTACGTCTGTCACTTGATTGTGTTGTACATGCACGTGCCACAATGGCGCACGTGCAAATGTGCACTTTCTATATATTGCTACTGATGCTGACCACAGCACAGGGGTGTAGTATATCTGGAAACGCGATAACGGTCAGTGCTGGAACATCATGTACACTTACGACCAGCGTCACCGTTACCACAGTGCAAGTGGATGGAACTATGACAATATCTGGAATGCATACTATCACGGCTGATGAGATTTATGTCGGGTACACTGGCTGGATCAACGCGGACGGGCAGGGGAGTGGCGCTCAGCAAGGCCCGGGAGCAGGGTCGTCCCAAGGCTCCGGAGGTAACGAAGTATTTCCTTATCAAATGATGACGATTGTATATTCTTTATATTTAAAATTAATCAAAATTTAATTTTCTATTTTATAAGCAAATATTTAAAAACTAAATTTTAGCCTATTAAAACGACATATTTTTTAACAAACTTGACGAAAAAAATATGTTATTTTTAAAGTTAAGTAGAGAAAGTCCAATTTGAGGATTTAAAAGAGATTTAAATACTGTTATCTTTGGATAAAGTATCTAAAACATTTATATTAATTGTTTTTTATGAAATATATAACACACTTCAAATTGATTTAAGCCATATCATTGAATTCTGAAAAATAAGTATTTTTGTCGGGAAGTTTTTTTTCCAATAAAAACATCACAATGCTTTCTACGCCAAGTGCAAAATATGCTGTTGTAGCGCAGAAGTCAACATAATGCAAGATTTATTGATTAATGTGGTTTTATGTATGTATTTATCTATCTATTTATTTATTTATTGTGTGATTTGTTGATTGATATATTGGTTGATTGAATCATTGATTTATTTGTTTACTTATGTTATACGACGGAAATAGTTCCTCGGCTAATTACGTATTATGACTATATAATCAAAACAATATCGTATAAGATACGGATGTTTACAAGGACATGACGTTAGCTTTTTTTCCGGCTCATCATTCTCGCCGCTTCCTAGTCAGACTCTATGTTCTACCGCTGTTCACTAAAATATAGTTAAAGACACTTACATTCTAATACAACGTGTGACGGAATAGAATGCGCCCCACTGAAGCTAGGTAGACTTAAACACTAAATCTATCAATATAACAGATCAATGGGAATTTGTTGAAAATGGATTGATTGTGATCTTCCTTGATTTTCTTGGCTAAGCCATAACTATAACGTCTAGTTTCGGATTGAGAAGTTTAATTGATTTTGTTCTTAAAATTACACTATTTTACTTAAAACTGTTTCACAATCTTATTTAACATGTAACTCGGTGCGATTTGTGTAGTATATTGTCTTTAGTTAAGGCCAAAATAGATATCGCCAACTATAAAGAAAAATAAAGAATCTCTTTGTACTAATTACCCATGATAAAAGAAGTTTACCGGATGAGATACTTAACTACCTAACGTCCTTCAAACCTCGTCCTCGTTAGAGCTGTCTTATATAGTTATTTATCATACGATTGTCTTGTTATTCAGTGATAACTACCTTGTAATAGCATCGTGTATTACACGGTAATATGACCTATTGTGACGTTAACACCACCAAAAGAAATGACGTCACACTCACAAATTGCATTGTCACGTGACAATAGAGATATAGTTTTAAGCATGGCGTAGATATGTCCCACTTCTACAATATTTGCATGAATAATCGTTCAGACGATAAAAGATATATAGTACGTTACCAGTGAGGACGTGATTTATGGAACTCGTTAACCATTCTTACACTCGTTTCATAAATTGCATTCTTTCCTTTTGGTTTTCGTTGCTTTCGTTTGTTTGGTTTTGTTTTGTTTTGATTTTTTTCAAAATTGGGTGAACGAAAACTGAACTCGACCGTGAATGATTGAGTTTATGAATACTGTCTTGAATTAACGAGCGAACAATATATCGTGCTCCGAGGGATGAGAGAATAAGCACAGATCCTCTTTAAAATATAATACATTTAAAACACGGGAAAATACTTCACATTAAATGTATCATTTTGACACTACAGTCTACATCCATGTTATAATTTTGACGCTACAGTCTACATCCATGTTATAATTTTGACGCTACAGTCTACAACCATGTTATAATTTTGACATACAGTCTACATCCATGTTATAATTTTGACACTACAGACTACATCCATGTTATAATTTTGACACTACAGTCTACATCCATGTTATAATTTTCACACTACAGTCTACATCCATGTTATAATTTTGACGCTACAGTCTACATCCATGTTATAATTTTGACACTACAGTCTACAACCATGTTATAATTTTGACATACAGTCTACATCCATGTTATAATTTTGACACTACAACATGTTATAATTTTGACATACATTCTACATGTTATAATTTTGACACTACAGTCTACATCCATGTTATAACTTTTTACAGTCTACATCCATGTTATAATTTTGGCACTACAGTCTACATCCATGTTATAATTTTGACACTATAGTCTACATCCATTTTATAATTTTGACACTACAGACTACATCCATGTTATAATTTTGACACTACAGACTACATCCATGTTATAACTTTGACGCTACAGTCTATATCCATGTTATAATTTTGACACTACAGTCTACATCCATGTTATAATTTTGACACTATAGTCTACATCCATTTTATAATTTTGACACTACAGACTACATCCATGTTATAATTTTGACACTACAGACTACATCCATGTTATAATTTTGACACTGCAGACTACATCCATGTTATAATTTTTACGCTACAGTCTACATCCATGTTATAATTTTGACGCTACAGTCTACAACCATGTTATAATTTTGACATACATTCTACATCCATGTTATAATTTTGACACTACAGACTACATCCATGTTATAACTTTGACACTACAGACTACATCCAGGTTATAATTCTGACATACAGACTACATCCCTGTTATAATTTTGACACTACAGTCTACAATCATGTTATAACTTTGACGCTACAGTCTACATCCATATTATAATTTTGACGCTACAGTCTACAACCATGTTATAATTTTGACACTACAGTCTACAATCATGTTATAACTTTGACGCTACAGTCTACATCCATGTTATAATTTTGACACTACAGTCTACATCCATGTTATAACTTTGACGCTACAGTCTACAACCATGTTATAACTTTGACGCTACAGTCTACATCCATATTATAATTTTGACGCTACAGTCTACATCCATATTATAATTTTGACACTACAATCTACATCAAAATATAGAATTCTAGTTTCTAATGCGCCGCATTTTTTCGTAACGTTTCGCACGTTCGCACTTTTCTAAAAAAGCTGTTGACCTTAAGGACTATAATCATGATTTAGGATTCCCGAAATAGTTTTAGTTTATAAAGCAGTTAAATGGGCTTAACAGTCGGATTACTACTTTCTACTTATAATCATTACGATCGTTTTGTAATTTAGAAAGAGTACAGTCCGGAAAACGTTTGAGTTCATAGAAGAAATGTATATTAAAGGAGATAGAACACGAATATATATACGTATATTTCTCCGATTTTCAGATTAGGATGTTTTTGTAACAACAGCCCCCTTCATATAGGTTAACAATTGAAAGTCCATGACAACAACCCCGAAGAATTAATTTCTTTTGTATGTGATTCTTAAAAGCCATTGGAACGAAAACCGTTGGTCATTTTTTAAGTGCTGTTAAATTGGTTACCACGTGATCTGAAGACCTGTGATTTAAAAAAGGTGGTGGCTGTCACCATTGTTAGAACGATGACAAGTGACCGATTCCAATCAAATAATGACAAATCGATAAACGATTTCTAAATGCGCGTACTTCTGTTACATATTACTGATTTTTAAAAAATTATTTCAAACTTTAAAAACCCCGTTTTGATTACAATGTTCTTGTGAAAGTTAATGAACACTTTCAATGTAGGAAAGTTCAAATTACTCTTGACCTTTAAGGTTAATAAAACAGGTTGTCTGTTGAAATACACTTATGTATGCCAATTGGATTTCTAAATATGCTTTTCCCGGATTTTAAACCAACTACGGTGTTAAAAACCCTCTCTGATTTCCCATTCTGTCAATGCCTGTCAATATTTGTTAATGTACGTGTATGACATCGCTGAACTTTGTAAATTGCTATAACAAGCCCCATACCTGTAATGTGCTCATTACAGCGCGAGTCTTCTCTTGAAGAAAGAATTTGCCGATGAAGATTTGTATTAGACAAATTAAAATAAATCTCAAATTACCCTCTCGACAAACCTTATATTTCAAATCAATATTGACACAAATGTTGTATGTAATTGACATACATTTATACAGTAAAACCACCGGACACCGGAATCTCCCTACTGGTCATATGTCCAGATCTAATCTGTTAGAGAACCTGTCATACATTTATTGTATTGGGTGTTCCAGAGCTACCATTAATCCCCGTTTCAAACTGTTTTTTATCGAAATATTTTAAGATATCGTACAAACATGTTTGACATCAAAAGGTTTACCTTAAAATGTGTTTTGCACGTAAACCGGAACAAGAACGTAAAAACCAATCTGTTTACCGTTTTAAAACGATGATTTTATTTACATATCAGCTAATTTATCAAATACAAGTTAATACACATTCATGTATAAGTATCAAGTTTTTAGTGAATTTCCAAACATTATTTTTCTGCATAAAGCATTTTTTTCTTCTTCTTTCTGTTTTGACGCATCAGTGAATTTAAACATATTATCAAAATGTGTTTAAACTGAAAATGAACTTGTTGTTCTGGATAATGAGCATAGTGGAGATATGTTTTATTTTGCCCAGAAATCTGTGATTAGTTAAATCAAAATCATGTAATACAAACATACATGTTGTTTGTCTGACATGTGTAGTCTTTACGTCAACCAATGTTTTTAAGTCGTAGTTTACCTAAAAAAAATGTTTAAAAATGACAGTAGATAACTCGTTAATATATATATATATAAGTTATTGCAAGAACATGACTTCGACTTCTCACCGTGTGTGTATAATACCCTTATTCTGAAATTGTTAATTTGGTCTAGTCTAATTAGAAAATATTTTCCGTCCAACAGTCGACATGACCTGAATTGTGGCTATGACTACAAAAGATAAACAAACACAAGAATCTAAGCACTAAATAGGCCTCGACAACAACCAGTAAAATTAACAACTCTGTGACAGAAGTGAAAGTGAAAGTAGAATATTGAAGGTAACACTACTGATCCTGGGTAAAAAAAAACGGGACGCATTTACATCTTTACTTTCTTGCAACTTGGGTATTCT